TCTAGTAATCACAAAAATATCGAAAATGAAAATTTTTATATATCTTTACGTTTCAAAACCTTTTGAACATTTTGCCATACCTTAGAAAAAAATGGATGTATGTGTGTGTATGTGTGTGCGGATACAAATTTTCCTCGACGATTTCGGGAACACGGATGAAGCGATTTGAATAATTCAAAAAACATTCGATTCGTATTGATAAAGAGACGTGCTGATTAGTTTTTGGCGGAGGCAGGCCTAGCCGTTCCGAAGATATGGGGCAAAAAGTGCCAAAAACGGTAACTCAGTTTTTAAGAGAACGGAGCGTCCGATTTGAATAATTCGTAAAACATTTTACTTGTATTAACAAGATGAAGAACTGATCAAATTTTCATGAACGCAGGTTTAGCGGGTTCGCAGATCTAGTGAATAAAGTAAAAAAAAAATGTCATCTGGCGCTCAAAAATGATCATTAGACATATGCACATAAAATTATCAGATATTTTATAGACATTTTAACAATAAGTATAAATTTTGTTTACATTCCTATGAATTCCGTACAAATGCTTATCCGTCAGACGACGGCGCGGCGCTTACGCGCTTTGATATTTCGTCTATATGCAGTTAAAGCAGTACGATTGCTTTGAAAAAAATTTAGAATTTCCAAAATATTTCAAAATACACTTTTTTTCAAAAAGTCTTTTTTATAACAAAGTAAATTTTTGTCAAAAATGTATAGTTTCTCAAAAATCTAATTTTTCAGAGTATTTTTTTTTTCAAAAATGTTAATCTTTTAAAAAAAATAATAATTTTTGGTACGGGAAGTTCCAGCAATTTGCCTTAAGGCACGATGCCATGCACCCCTCTAGTTTATTTTTCAAACTTTTGTTCTCATGAATCATTGTCCTGCAAGTCTATTTTATGTCCTCCTTTCTGCTCTAGCATAACAATTTGTTTTTATATAACTTTCTTAAAGACTAAGCCTCTCATCCCTGCAGAATCATATCCTTAATGTAGCAAATAATCAAAGTTATTTACTAAAATAAATTAATTTATTAATATGAACCTAAGAACGAGGAACAAATTCGTCATCTTCTCAAAATTCACGATAACATGCTTTAGCCATTTTTCTAGTAAATCTTCAAATTCCTTTCCTTAATAAGTGTCATTTTACATCAAAACTTTGCACTGATCTTCGTAAATTGTTCGATCACAACATAGTTAGAAGACGCGTGCCGAACATTAAATAACTTCTGAAACTATTCTCGTAGTTAGTGAGAAATGTCATTGCTCGGCGTCGGTGGACACAGACATTTCTCCTTGTCTGACGATTGTCTACGCCTGACCACATGAATTATTTATATTCTCCGATGCAATCGGAGTCGATATTGATGAATTTCTAGATAATTTGAAATTAATTTATTGGAAGATTGTCAAAATCATGTTTTACGTTCATGATATTTATAAAATGCGTTATGTTTACTTAATGTTTAATTAAATGCAGTGGACTTCTATTAATTGAGCTACATTAGCTAAAACAGAAATTTAACGATTAACAACGAATATGCACAAAATCCATTCCCTGCATTCTGGCTAATTTTAAAATATTATTATTGATAAAATTATTTACTAATTAATTTTACGATCAGTACCTACTTATGCTTATTTATATTCTACACATCTGTATTTACGTTAAAAGAAACCACATGTTTTCATCGATAATATTGCGTGTGGTCCAATATATATCTAATTTTACTCATCAATTCACAGAAATCAAAGCATTTATTACTTTTTTTTGCAAAACTTCAGATCTATGGCAATAAGAGTAAATAAAATTGGGATAAATTACGCTCGTTATGATCGAGAATAATATGAGCAAAATAATATAAGACAATTTCTCTAATTCCTCAAATATTGTTGCACGCATTTATAACTTGTAACTCATATTTAGTATAGTGTTGTAGATATGATTGTAGTTATAAATCATTATTGTAATTAGTTATTATTAATCGGTAATTAATTCTAAATAGTCTATACTTCTGGTCATATACTTTCTAGAATTATAAATGGTAGTAAATATGGTTATCTTTCAGAAGATAGTACAGAATTTGTGACAGATAGTTCTGTTCAGGGTGAGCCACACTTTTGCATATATATATATATATATATATATATATATATATATATATATCATTTTTCTTTGTAATTTTCGAAAACCACGTAATACATGTATCATACATATGTCAAACCTCTACTAAACGCTGGCATGTTGTCAAGACATTTCTCACATACCTTGCGAACATGTGACTTTTTCTCTTAGGAAGAAATATTTCATCTTAAATATGAAATTGAATTACAAACATGCGATGTTAACATTAGAGAAGTTTCCTAATGTAGATACAAAATACTACCTGTAATACGTAATACTATTTGTAGAATATGGGATAATATAGAATAGGATGAAATCGATATTTTGTGGTCAAGGTGGGAATAATTAAGGTAATATGTATATATATATATATATATATATATATATATAAGCATCAGCAAAGTCATATACGTATTAATATAATATTAATTTAAAGGATATAATGTTAATTTGAGGATTTTCATAATCATTACTTTTTTTGTTATTATAGGCGACAAATCTAACATGAATAATATATTTCCCAAAATAAA